TCAGTTTCAGCTTCTGTGGCAGTTGGGACTGAGAGCCTGCCATTGTTCCCTTGATTGCCTCTGATTAGCCTCAGGCTCAGCCTTCCCCTGTGTGACTCAGAAGGGGGCAGGCCTGACCTAGGCAAGCAGGCTTTAAAAAGCCAGAGCAGTGCGACCAGGGGAGCGAAGCGGACAGGGGACTGCAGACAGGGGAGTTGAAGAGGGAGAGCAAAGCGCCCCCACCGCCGAAGAGGCTACCCGGTGAGAGTACAAGCTGTGGTGTGAGTGTGTGTGTGTGCCTGACTGTTTGAATTTTACAGTTTGAAGTGTGAATTGAGTCTGATTCCAGGGAGTGCTAGCAGTTTCAGTTTCAGCTTCTGTGGCAGTTGGGACTGAGAGCCTGCCATTGTTCCCTTGATTGCCTCTGATTAGCCTCAGGCTCAGCCTTCCCCTGTGTGACTCAGAAGGGGGCAGGCCTGACCTAGGCAAGCAGGCTTTAAAAAGCCAGAGCAGTGCGACCAGGGGAGCGAAGCGGACAGGGGACTGCAGACAGGGGAGTTGAAGAGGGAGAGCAAAGCGCCCCCACCGCCGAAGAGGCTACCCGGTGAGAGTACAAGCTGTGGTGTGAGTGTGTGTGTGTGCCTGACTGTTTGAATTTTACAGTTTGAAGTGTGAATTGAGTCTGATTCCAGGGAGTGCTAGCAGTTTCAGTTTCAGCTTCTGTGGCAGTTGGGACTGAGAGCCTGCCATTGTTCCCTTGATTGCCTCTGATTAGCCTCAGGCTCAGCCTTCCCCTGTGTGACTCAGAAGGGGGCAGGCCTGACCTAGGCAAGCAGGCTTTAAAAAGCCAGAGCAGTGCGACCAGGGGAGCGAAGCGGACAGGGGACTGCAGACAGGGGAGTTGAAGAGGGAGAGCAAAGCGCCCCCACCGCCGAAGAGGCTACCCGGTGAGAGTACAAGCTGTGGTGTGAGTGTGTGTGTGTGCCTGACTGTTTGAATTTTACAGTTTGAAGTGTGAATTGAGTCTGATTCCAGGGAGTGCTAGCAGTTTCAGTTTCAGCTTCTGTGGCAGTTGGGACTGAGAGCCTGCCATTGTTCCCTTGATTGTGTCAGGAAGCTGCTGCTGTCACTGAGGGAAAAGTGCCTTTCCTCCCACCAGGCAGTTCAGTGTGTGTACTGAGCCCCTGACTGGGCGGGACCCATTAAGCAGCTGCAGGGCTGTGCTGCCATGCAGCTTAGGGGGAACACTGATTTGCAGCATCAGATTGGGGTACTGTGATGGGGTAGGGGCTCATTTTTCAGGTGGAGGTTACAAAGACCCTGAGTCAGTGTTTAATGGTTGACTGGGAAAAGACCAAGAACTCATCCACTTTGTGGTGGAATGCCATGATTGATATGAGATGTATTCTAACTGAGCTAATGGACAGACTTGATTTTTTAAATTCCAGTATATAGTCCAGTACAATAGGTGAAAGAAAGAAAGTTGCCATAATTTGTCTATTCTGGCACCATGTTTGGAACTTCTTCCATTTGTGCAAGCAGGTATGTCAGGTAGTAGATCTGCTGTTTACCTCCCTCAGAACAGAGGCATTGCTAAGTGCTCTGTCTCAGGTAGAGGGCAGCAGAGAAGGAACTGGGGGGGGCTGAGGAGGGGTTGGTTGCACAGTGTTATTAACTATCAGAAACCACGCAAGGCCGGGACAATGTATGGGTGGGATTCTCTTTGTTTTAAAGTTTTAAATTATGCATGGCCCCTATGCTGGGCTGCAGAAACTTTGTTCTTCTATAACAGAACGCGGCTGGCTGGGTCTGAGGCCATGTCTACACGTCATGCTAAACTGGAACTGCTGTGATCAACATAGCAGTGTTGATTTAGCAGATCTGGTGAACACATGCTAAGTTGATGGCAGAACACTCTCTGTCAATGTCTGTACTCCACTTTCCTGACAGGCAAAAGCTATGTTAAATGGAGAGCATCTCCTGTTGACATAATGTGGCATAGACTAGCTGCTGTTAGTCAATCTAAGTTGCTTTGACTTTGGTTACATAAGAACATAAGAACGGCCGTACTGGGTCAGACCAAAGGTCCATCTAGCCCAGTATCCTGTCTACCGACAGTGGCCAGCACCAGGTGCCCCAGAGAGGGTGGACCAAAGACAATGATCAAGCGATTTGTCTCCTGCCATCCCTCTCCAGCCTCTGACAGACAGA